GGTCATGGCATAAGAAAATGGAAGCACTGGTGGGGAATCAGTCGTTTCTTTTCAATTTTCAGATTCAACACCTTCCTTACCTTCAGAAATTGACTTATCATCTTTCTCACAAGGTTCAAGAGTGGGTTTTTCAATAACCTTACCACTACGAAGAGTAGTGACTGATGTGACTTGATCAATGTGTTGGCTTCCAGAACTACTTGTATTTGCATTGTATTGCCCCTTGAGATTTTGTTATGGTTGAGATGGAAACTTACCTTTCTCTTGGAAACTGAGAGCAGATGTCAATTTTACAAGAGTATCTTTAAAATCTGTCATGTTTTGAGCAAGTTAAGTATTGCTTGTCTCTTGCTTTTCAATGAATGCATGCAATATTTCCTCGAGATTTCTTCTAGGAGGTGGAGCATAAAGAGGTACATATCCATGAGAATTTTGGAAATTATGGTGTGCTTAAAACGGTGGTAATGAAGTTTGTGCATTGTTGTTATCACTCTTCCAACTGAAATTTGGGTGATTTCTCCAACCAAGGTTGCATGTTTGGGAGTATGGGTTGTGGTTGGCGCTTTGGAAACTGTTTAAAGCATGGACTTATTCATGGAGACATTCCTTAAAAGAAGGCAAGGTTGGACAGTTATTGGTTGAGTGCTTATTTGTTTCATATATTTGACACACAATGTTTTCAATAGATTTTAATTTACTATTCTTTTTCAATTCTAGTGCCTCGACTTTTCTAGCTAAAGATGCAAACTTGGCTTGAAGGTCATGATCTTCCCTAAGGTTGTACATACCTCCACTAGATGTATGAGGTTGAGTTTTACTCGGTGCCTCATAAGTATCCGCGGTATCCTAATTTTGAGCATTTTCAGCTAACAAGTCTAAGTACTTCATTGCTTCCTCAGGGTCTTTATCTTCAAAAGTTCCATTGCACATCAATTCAATCATTTGCCTATCTTTAAGTGTTAACCCTTCATAAAAATATGAAACCAATCTCCATGTTTCAAAACCATGATGAGGGCAAGTATTAGGCAAGTCTCGATAACTATCCCAACATTGGTAAAATGTTTCTCCTGGTTTTTGAGTGAAAATGGTGATTTGTCTTTTGAAAGTGTTTGTTCTGTGAGATGGGAAAAACTTCTTTAAAAACTATTGTTGCATTTCATCCCAAGCATGAATGGATCTTGGTCTCAAATTTTGTAGCCATGTTTTAGCTTTATCTTTTAATGAAAAAGGAAAAAGCTTTAATCTGATGGTATTCATGCTACAATTTGAATCATTATATGTGTTACAAACCTCCTCAAATTCCCTTAAATGCAAGTATCAATTTTCCAATTTTAAACCATGAAAAGAAGGTAAAAGTTGAATAATGTCTGATTTAAAATTAAAATGAGATCCATCAGGAGGAATAATTATGCATGATGGTGCACTTATTCTTGTGGGATTCATGTGGTCTCTAAGTGTCCTAACACGGTTATTCTCAGTATTCTCATTATGAAGTAATTGATTATCTTCTTCGGCCATATTTTCTGAAAATGATGAGGATACCCTACAAAGTCTACCACTTGATGTACGTGACCATGCTCTCATGCACGTGTAAGAATAGAATAAAAGAAAGAAGAAAAAAAAAACAAGAACAAGAAACAAAGTTATATACAGTGAAAAGAGAAAATAAAATAAATACTATAATTTGTACAAGAACTTACCTCCCCGGCAACGGCGCCAAAAACTTGATACGACTAAAAGATTGATGTCTTCTCCCAAGTGTAGGAGTGTCGAAGTAATAAATAACCCGGCAAGACCGAGGTCGAACCATAGGGAGGTTAATTGTACAAATTATAAATAACAATTATAAACAACAATAATAGTAACAACAACAACAACAACAACAACAACAATAATAACAACAATAACAACAATAACAATAACAACAACAACAACAACAACAATAATAATAATAAAGAAAAAGAAGGAGAAGAAGATGAGAACTTTGAGATGGAATATTAATGTAAGAATTAAACAATGATAATAACAAATGTCAAGGTTAGAAGATCCACTAATGGTATGTCAAACAAGTATAATATAAACTCTTATTATTCAATTGGAAACCACACACAAAGGAGGTTCCAATCTGATTATAGATTGTTAACATGATTACATTAGTCATCTTATTCGATTAATGCTAATACTTGTAAATCTCGTCAAGCATTCATGATTATAACTGATGTTAACAACAAATCAAGTTTCTTTCATAGCTCAGGTGTCGATTATACCATACAGTATGAACTATGAAAGTGCCAAGCATTTATTGTACCAAGTGTTATACAACATAAATCAAGATTAGTCATTTAACAAGTAAAGTATTAAAGAGTGAACAAGATATCAAATACAAAACATGTTAGTATCAAATATTAAAGTCCATATTGAGTTTACACTATACTTATTCTTACACCATTAGTGTAACCTTTTTACCTTGACATAATAAATTTAGCTACACATAATGAAAGAAAGGAAAATAAATAAACAAAATAAGAACATAAAGAAGATAAGAGTTAACTAAGTAAAGGAAAGAAAATGAAAGGCATAAACTTGATATTAATGAAAACAAAGCATAAACATTACAAAAAATACAAAGAGAAAAAGCAAGAGCATGATCTTGATCTGGAAACCAAGATGCCTAAATGCATGGCAAATGCCTCCTTTTATAGGCCAAAATTAAAAACTTGTTGTTGTTCTAATTTGAACTTGAAAATGACCTTTTTAGTTCTTGGGCTCCATTTGAAAGTTATAGTCCTATGTCTTACCTTTCGATCCATATAAAGTAGATCTAAATCTGAGATCTACAGCTCCAGATATGACCTAATTACCGAACAGTGTTTCAGTTTGAACTGCACCGGCATCTCTTTTCAAAGTTTGACCATCTCTTTATTCTTTCAATTTCAGTTCTTAAATTCATTAATCAATCCTTTTATTTATGTAATAGGCCTGCATTTAAAATGAACATTTACCATAAATTAAAGATATCTTGTATTATTAGATATATTATTATAAAATATATTTTAGTTAAAGAGTTATTGATACTTCAAGTATAGAATAATGATATAAAACCTTAATAAAAATACACTTTTAAAATTAATTAAAGAGATTATATGTATTTAAAATACAGACCTATAGACCAACCTCTATGGCTTTTCAGGCCTCTATAACAACTCTCCCCGCATTTCTTTGGTCCCTGTCAAATCATTAGAAAAGTTGGTTCAATGGCTTATAGATTGGTGTTGCCCCTAGGTTGGTAAATTCATAATATGTTCGATATTAGTTTGTTAAGAAAGCATAATGGGCAAGTCACTCGAGCCTCACCCCAACTTCCCCCCTGTATCAAATACCTTTACTATCATTCCATAGCCTGAAGTCATTTAGATAATCGTGTAATTCACCAGGGAAAATACTGCTCTATATCCGAAGTTTTAGTCAAGTGAAGAGGAGCACCTACAGAAGATGCCACCTGAGAGAATAAGTGGTGTTTTACTAAGAGCTATCTTATTGATCCTCGTGGACATAGATTCGTAAGCGGGGGGAAATGATAGGACCATTTGTGTGCAGGAAATCACATAGGATCATGTAGGGACTTGCAAGGCAAAGGTATAAGACTTGGTCTATAAAACTTAGTCTATTTAGTTTTTGAGATATAAATCATTTTGTTGAATTTTTTATGAGTGGAATAGTAGAAGTAACTTCTTTCTATTTTTTAATATTTTCTATTATGAATTATATGGCTATAAATGCCAAGGTTATTTTTAATAAAAGACAAGTACGTAAATATCTACAATAATCTACAGAATCCGACTTCCGCTCTGACAAGGCTTGTAAGATTGGCATATGCATTATCATCTTGAATGGTAGAACATGTCTGCGGTGGTTGCCAAAGGAAAACGTCTTCTAAAAAGATTCAATTGACAAACACCACATGCAGAAAATCTCAAGCAGCATAAGTGACCATTTACGCTATATTTGTTTTTTAAAAAATAGTTTTTAAGAAATTATTTTTTAAATTTTTTTATGTTTGTTTGTCATTAAAAAAGTTGGTCAACGAAAAACATTTTCCGATCAACGAAAAACACTTTCCAATCAACGAAAAACACTTTCCGGTCAACAGAAAACATTTTCTGGTCAACAAAAATACTTTTTAGTCAAAAAAAAATTTTGCTTAATTTTCAGAAAAGTGTTTTCCTTTTTAGCTGTGTTTGTTTTCCGGAAAGTGGTTTCCAAGAAAACACTTTCCAAACTTTCTTGTATTTGTTTGCTGTTAGGAAAGTTGATAAACAAAAAACACTTTCCAGTCAAAAGAAAATTTGGTTTGATTTTCAAGAAAATGTTTTCCTGAAAAATTAGGAGGAAAACATTTTCCAAAAGTTGTGAAAAGTTTAGAAATATCATTAAGTAAAATAATATCAATAAAAAAATAAAGATCAAATTTAATAAATAAAAAATTTTAATAAAAAATAAAAAATAAATAAATAACAATTATAAAAATAAAAACTAAAATTAATATAAAAATTAAATTAAATAATAAATATTTAAAATAAAATATATATAAAAATTTAAAGTTTAAAGATTAAATTTAATATAATCAACAAATAATAAAATATTTCTTAATTTTTTATGATTTTTAAAAAATATTTTTCTTTTAAATTTTTTTTTAACTACAAAATATATATAAAAATCACTTTTTAAAAAAACATCGTTCCTTACCTTAAAATAACGGCCTTAGAATAGCTTCAACTTTTTAATTTGTAAAATTTATTCCTTATTATTTTAATAAACTTGAGAAAAATAAAATATTAATAACATAACCAAACACTGAAAAGTGTTTTTCAGTTCATTTTCTATAAAACTATTAAATATCAAAAAATACTTTACTTTTCAAGAATTTATGAAAACGTCTTCTAAAAAGATTCAATTGACAAACACCACATGCAGAAAATCTCAAGCAGCATCAGTGACCATTTAGCATAAAAGATGTTTCCTAGAGAGAAAACCTTCGTCGCCTATAATTTCAGTTTGCAATTAAAGTTTGAATCTAAAACAAATTAAGTTATGGGAACTTCAGCAGAACAAACTGCATCGAATTCTATAGGCAAAAAGAAAAATATAATGTGCACCTATATAAAACTAAAATATCACAGATCTGCTCTGCCAGGGTATCTGGGGAATGGAATGACATCTCTAATATTGTCGATTCCAGTGGCAAAAAGTATCATCCTCTCAAAACCCAGGCCAAAACCACAATGTTTTACAGTCCCATAACGCCGCAGGTCGAGGTACCACTCATATGGCTCAATAGGCAGTCCCATCTCAGCAATTCTGCAATGGAGAGTGCACCCACAAAAATGAAATCAACAGCATAACGAATATAGTCAGAAGAAAACAAAAGTCAATGCAACTTCACATAAAACAAGGTTGGACAATTCAAGCAGACTCGTCATACCTCTGCTTAATAACCTCATAGCGTTCCTCCCTTTGGCTTCCACCAATCAATTCTCCCACCTGCAATAAATGACAAAGCCAATTGGAATGAATGCAAAACGGTAGGCAGGTGAATAGCTACCATGTTAAATGTAAGAATTGGGCACATGGTACGCAAACTTTAAAATGTGCATGGGAATGATTTACCTTTGGTACAAGGATATCCATAGCAGCCACTGTCTTTGAATCATCATTGAGCCTCATGTAGAATGCTTTTATTCCCTTAGGATAGTTGTACACGATTACAGGCTTTCTAAATATATCCTCCGTCAAGTATCTGTATGAATAGACAAACCAAACCATCAATATATGCAAATCAAAAGGACAGAACATGCTACAGAGGCAGATTTGCATACCTTTCATGCTCAGATGCCAGATCAATCCCCCATTCCACGTTCTTCTCAAACTCCTTACCACCTCTCACTGCCTCCTCTAGCAGTTGCACTGCTTCTGTGTAAGAAATACGCTCAAAAGGGGTTGAAGAAACCATTCTTAGACGATCAATACAACCTTTATCATAAAGCTTAGCCATAAGTTCCATGTCATCAAAGCACTTGTTGAGTAGCCATTGGCACATGTATTTCACATATGCCTCAGCACAATTCATGTCATCCTGAAAAAATATGCAAAATTTGCTAACTGAAATATATTTCACATACCATATATATGTACAGAAAGGGAATTGAGAATCCTACTACATGTGAAGTACAAAAGATTCTATCACTATAGTCAGTGTAAAATACAGAGGTATATTAAAAGAATAACCTTTACTTCATACATGAGAAGTTGTTTCTTATTCAAGAATAGTGTTCATATACACAACATACAATAATGCTCAAAACAACAATAGACAACATGAACTTTCCAATTATCTTGTACAAAACATGTGATTTCACAAAATATATATATATATTACTTAAATATGTGGTAGCAGATCGTAAAAGGATGAGAGAACCCTTTTTGCCCCTCCGTACCCCACATTTTATCATTTCCTCTAACCCAATATAATGAGGGAGACTGTTGATCAGATCCATCAACAGCATATAATATACACCATGTAGATGGGTAAATTAGTTGACAGCCAACATATCAGTAACAGCTCAGTGAAATAAAGACCAAAACCTGCAATTACAGGCATAATAAACGCTAGAATACCGAGAAGCCAGATAAATCAATTAGAATAGCACATTGTAATATACCTGAAGATCTGCAAATGCTATTTCAGGCTCCACCATCCAGAACTCAGCCAAATGTCTAGAAGTGTGAGAATGCTCAGCTCTAAACGTTGGTCCAAATGTATAGACACTGGAGACAGCACAGGCATAGGTTTCAACTTGAAGTTGGCCAGAGACTGTCAAAAAGGCCTGACGGGAAAAGAAATCTTGACCATAATCAATCTTGCCATCTTTTTTAGGAATACCAGGTTTAAGCTTAGCTCTTTCCTCCACCCTTGAGAGATTCTCTTTGGCTATTTTAAGATCAGCCACAGAAGCACTAATTTCCTCCTTAGTTGCCTTAGCAGCTTTGAGTTGAGAAACAATATTACCTTTCTCCCCAACAGTAAGCTTAGCTGCTTCTAAGTCAGCCTCAGTAGGCGGAGGATTCAAAATGAGCTCCTTCTCGAGCTTTTCAGCTTCACTAATCAAGGTTGTAGCTTGAAACATTTCACCAGCACCTTCACAGTCACTTGTGGTGATAATTGGAGTATGAACATACAGAAAACCATGCTCTTGAAAGAAAGAGTGCGTGGCAAAAGCAAGTGCATTGCGAATTCGAGCAACTGCAGAAATCTAAAAAAAAAAAACATTACAAGCTTTCGGCTTTCAATCAATCATGCGGTAAATATTTACAAGCACAAAGCAAGCATACCGTATTAGTTCGGGCCCTAAGGTGAATATGATCCCTCAAAAACTCAAGGGAGAGCTTCGTCTTGGGAATCGGATAACTGGCAGGATCGGTAGGGCCTACATGGAGCACCTTATCAACACGGAGTTCAATCTTCTGCTTTGTACCTTCAGGGGGGACCTTAAGCAAGCCCTCAACTAACACGCAAGTCCCAGTCTGCACAAGCGTGCTCAGATCTGCTACACCAGCATCCACGATAACCTGAAGGTTGGCAGGACACGATCCGTCGTTCACCTCCAAGAAAGCAAAGGAACCCTTCCCTTGCTCTCTCCCGGTCTTCACCCACCCACCGGCGCGGACTCGTTGGCCTGCCAGCCCAGCTCCTCCATCGGGACGACAAACGATTGATCGGACCGGGGCCCGGTCGGAGAATGGGTGCTTAAGAGAATGGCCGTCACTAATGGCCATCTCTGCGAGTTCTGGTGCTGGAGGCGTGGCCTGGTCACCCATTGCTTGGTTTTGGCGGAGAGATAGCTGTAACGCAGGGACTTAGGGCTTTTTGTGTTTTACTGACAAAACCCTAATTTTGGTGGAGAGGGGAGGTGAATACAGAGGGGAGAAGATTGGGTGGCAGTGAGGACCATGGTAGCTTGTTTCTTTTGACCTTCTAGCTTTGATTTGATTACTGAAGTATACGTGTTAAAATCTGATTCATTAACGGAACATAGGATGGATTCTTCTATAGTTACGGTTTTAAAATATTTTTAATTTAAAAATATATTAAAGTAATATTTGTTT